AATCAGTAAGGAATAGTGTTGACAGTTAAATCAGTAAGTAATAGTGTTGACAGTGAAATCAGTAAGCAATAGTGTCAACAGTGAAAACAGCTAGAAAAACAGAGAAATAGAGTTTGCACTGAACCGAGCAAATAATCGTGCTATAAAAGTGAAGTCAGGTGCAATACAGTTGAAAGTGGAATCAGCAAGCAATAGTGTTTTCATCAAAGCTTGAATAATACTAATATGATCAACACAATCTGATTTTTAAAATTTTTTCAGAATTGGCATTCTATAAAACTTTAAGTAATTATTTTGAAATAGGCAATGAACCAGCACAGACTACCACTTTATCATCCGGATGACACTTCCCGTTTTCATCGGAACCTATTTTGACTAATGAATGTCTGGTTGTGATTGTGAAATTCTATATTGCTTAAAGATTTCCTTATTTTTTGGTGTCGAATTAAGCAAACTATTTGATTAATTGATATTTCGAATGAATTATTGTGTAATCTTTATCATATCATTATGTTCTTATTGCTTGTAATAGAGAGTTTTAACCAATTATATATCTCCATGTATGTACAGTCTGGATAAACAATAAAAGACTTTTTGACCTTTCATCTCCTGTGACATAGAAACAATTTATCTGCTCTAAATGAATGAAAATAAATTAGTAAGAGGTTTGGCTGAGAAATGTGAGCAAGAACCTTTTGTTGTGAATCCTATTACAGTTTCTGTCCAGAGTAATGGCAAGAAAAGGCTTATTTTAGATTTAAGAATTGTAAATAATTAAGCATGTTTGGAAACATTCGATCAAATATAAAGATGTTAAGATTAGTTTAGATCATATAATGAAGGACTATTTGAATGTTTAAATTTTATATTCATTCTGCCTATCATTTTATAGATATGTACAGACCACATACTGAGTATTCAGGTTTTACGTGGGAATTAGAAAAACGTGTTATTTCATATTTTGAATTTTTGGTACTTCCTCTCGAGTTTACATCAGCACCACAAACACACATTTACAAAATTAACAAGACCATAAACTGTCACCTCTATCACGTTAACAAGCCAACAAATTTTGATGCGTTTTTCATAAGTCAAGGGCAATAACTCAAAAACCGTTCATCAAAAGATCGTGAAGTTCAAACTTGTCCAAAATCTCATTGATGTAAATGGTCACACCAAATTTCATTCAACTCAGATAAAAACTGCTGTCTCTTTTGCATTCACAAGCCAATTGTGGACGGACGGACGGACCCTCAGACAGGGGCAACGACAATATACGACCACATTATAATTTGGGCATATAAAAACTCGATCCTTGATATTAAAGAATAATATCAGGTCAGTCGATGGAAGAAATTAGCAAGTTTTATTGGACAAATAATTTCTATGAGCATAGTGATAGGAAATATGTCGCAAGAATGACACGTTATTTAAGTATGGATGTGGTATCTGCTCTTACATGGAACACTTACAATAAATTATCAGGTGATAGTTTAGACTAATTTAAGTAATTAAGAGTAATTTAAAATACATTAATAAGCATTCATTATGTAATAAGGCTTATGCGTCAA